GGGAGAGGACTTCTTTTTTTCCATGGAAAATGGACTCTGTTTGAATTAACTCAATCCTTGCCAACAGGGCGGTGCCGAAGTAGAAATGGGAACCTTGTTGGATTTCGCCCAAACTAAATCTGCCAGTAACTAGGACCCTGCAAAGTCTTAGCGCCCGAAAAATCACCTTTCAACTGATACCCAGACCCTGAGGAAATGACTTCTTTTCCACACGGAAAAATGCCTCTGTTTGCGGCCACCCGCCCCTTCCATCAGGGTGCTACAAAGGGCAAAATTGGCAAACTTTGCTGGATTTCTCCAAAACTAAAGAAGCCAGCAACTGGGCCCTGCAAGGTCGCAGAGCCTCAAAGGCCACCTTTCATCTGAAATCCGGACAGTGGTAAATTACTTCCTATTCCTACGGAAAGAGGGCTCGGTTTGCAGCCACAGGCCCTGCCCGACAAGGCAGTGCCAAGCTAGAAAAGGGCACACTTTGCTGGATTTCTCCAAAACTAAAGCTGCCACCAGGTAGGACCCTGCACTTCCTGAGAGCCCCAAGGCCACCATTCATCTGATACCAAGACCCTGGGGAGAGGACTACTTTTACCCATGGAAAATGGACTCTGTTTGCAGCAACTCAATCCTTGCCAACAGGGCAGTGCCCAGGTAGAAATGGGCAAACCTTGTTGGATTTCTCCAAAACTAAAGCTTCCAACAACTAGGACCCTGCACGTACTTAGACCCCAAGGCCACCTTTCATCTGATACCCAGACTCTATGGAAATGACTCCTTTTTTCTCATGGAAAATTGCCTCCCTTTGCAGCCACTCACCCTGTCCAACAGGGATGTGCCATGCTCCAAACAGGAAAACCCTGCTGGATTTCTCCCAAACTAAAGCTTCTAGCAACTAGGACCCTGAAAGGTTTTATAGTCCTAAAATGCAGCTTTCAACTGATACCTGAACCGTGAGAAAAGGACTGCTTTCCACGTGGAAAATGGCCTGCATTTGAGGCCACTCACTCTGGCCGACAGGGCAGTACCAGGTAAGAAATGAGCAAAGTTTGCTGTATTTCTCCAAAACTAAAGCAGCCAGCAACTAGGACCCCGCAAGATTTTGAGCCCAAAAAGTCAACTACCAAGTGATACCAGGCCCTGGGGAAAGGATTTTTTTATCCCACAGAAAATGGCCTCAATCAGCAGCATCTCGCTCTGGCCGAGAGTGCGGACCCAAGAAAGAATTGGGCACACTTTGATGGATTTCTCCAAAGCTAAAGCTGCCAGCTACCAGGACCCTGCATGTCCTTAGAGCCCCAAGGCCACCATTCATCTGATACCAGAACCCTGGGGAGAGGACTTCTTTTTTTCCATGGAAAATGGACTCTGTTTGAATTAACTCAATCCTTGCCAACAGGGCGGTGCCGAGGTAGAAATGGGAACCTTGTTGGATTTCGCCCAAACTAAATCTGCCAGTAACTAGGACCCTGCAAAGTCTTAGCGCCCGAAAAATCACCTTTCAACTGATACCCAGACCCTGAGGAAATGACTTCTTTTCCACACGGAAAAATGCCTCTGTTTGCGGCCACCCGCCCCTTCCATCAGGGTGCTACAAAGGGCAAAATTGGCAAACTTTGCTGGATTTCTCCAAAACTAAAGAAGCCAGCAACTGGGCCCTGCAAGGTCGCAGAGCCTCAAAGGCCACCTTTCATCTGAAATCCGGACAGTGGTAAATTACTTCCTATTCCTACGGAAAGAGGGCTCGGTTTGCAGCCACAGGCCCTGCCCGACAAGGCAGTGCCAAGCTAGAAATGGGCACACTTTGCTGGATTTCTCCAAAACTAAAGCTGCCACCAGGTAGGACCCTGCACTTCCTGAGAGCCCCAAGGCCACCATTCATCTGATACCAAGACCCTGGGGAGAGGACTACTTTTACCCATGGAAAATGGGCTCTGCAGCAACTCAATCCTTGCCAACAGGGCGGTGCCCAGGTAGAAATGGGCAAACCTTGTTGGATTTCTCCAAAACTTAACTGGCCAGTTACTAGGACCCTGCAAAGCTGTAGGGCCGCAAAAGTCACCTTTCATCTGATACCCAGGCCCTGAGGAAAGGACTTCTTTTCGACACAGAAAATGGCCTCCGTTTGAGGCCACTTGCTCTGGCCAACAGGGAGGTGCCAGGTTAGCAGTTGGCAAGCTTTGCTGGATTTCTCCAGAACTAAATCTGCCAGTTACAAGGACCCTGCAAGTCCATAGAGCCCTAAAAGTCACCTTTCAACTGATACCCAGACCCTGGGGAAATTACTTCTTTTTCCCATGGAAAAGGGCCTACCTTTTCAAACCCTCACCCTGGTAGACTGTGATGTGCCATGCAAGAAATTTCCAAATTTTACTAGATTTCTCCAAAACTAAAACCGCGAGAAAGTAAGACTTCTCCAATACTAAGAGCCCCAATAACCACCTTTTATCTGATACCCAGACTCTGGGGAAATTATATAATTTTCCCATTGAATACAGCCTCCATTTGCAGCCACTCCCCCTGGTAGAATGAGATGTGCCAAGCGAGAAATTGGAATACTTTGCTGGCTTTCTCCACAACTAAAGCTGCCAGCAACAAAGATCCTGCAAGTCCTTAGAGCCCTAAAGGCCAACTTTCATCTGATACCCAAACTGTGGGGAAATTTCTTCTTTTTCCCATGGAAAATGGCATCCGTTTGCAGACACTCACCCTGGCCGACAGGGTGGTGCCAAGATCGAAATTGGCAGACTTTGCTAGATTTGTCAAGAACTAAATCTCCCAGCAAGTAGGACCCTGCAAGGCGTTTGAACCCCAATGGCCGCATTTCAACTGACCGCCAGACCCTAGGGAAATGACATCTTTTTCCCATGGAAAGTGGACTTCATTTGGGGTCACTCGCCTTGGCCGACACGGCGATGTCAAGCTCAAAATTGGCAAACTTTGCTGGATTTTTCCAAAACTAAACCTGCCAGTAACTAGGACCCTGCAAATCCTTAGCAGCCCAATGGCCACCTTTGAACTGATACCCAGAACCTGGGGAAATTACTTCTTTTTCCCAGGGAAAATGGCCTCCGTTTGCGGCCCACTCACCCTGACTGACAGGGTTGTGCCAATTGTGAAATTAGCAAACTTTGCTGGATTTCTCCAAAACTAAAGCTGCCAGCAACTAGGACCCTGCAAGTCCTTAGAGCCCCAAAGGGCAATATTAAACTGATCCGCAGACCATGGGGAAATGACTTTGTTTTCCCATGGAAAATGGCCTCTGTTTTTGGCCACTCACCCTGGGCAACAGTGCGGTGATAAGCTCAAACTTGGCAAACTTTGCTGTATTTCTCCAAAACTAAAGCTGCCAGCAACTAGGACCCTTAAAGTCTTTTGCAGCCCCATGGCCAGCTTTCAAGTGATACCCAGACCCTCTGGAATTGACTTCTTTTTTCAATATGGCCTCAATTTGGGGCCACTTGCCCTGACATGGCAGGGCCATGCTAGAAATTGGCAAACTTTGCTGGATTTCTCCAAAACTAAAGCTGTCATCAACGAGGACCCTGCAAGTCCTTAGAGCCCCAAAGGCCACCTTTCATCTGCTACCCAGACCCTGGGGAAATGACTTCTTTTTCCCATGGAAAATGGCCTCGCTTCGCAACCCCTCTGAATGGCAGACCGTGACGTGCCAAGGTAGAAGTTGGCAAACTTTGCTGGATTTCTCCGTAAGTAAATCTGCCAGCAACTAGGACCCTGCAAGTTCTTAGTGTCCCAAAGGCCACCTTTAATCTGATCCCCAGACCCCGGGGAAATAACTTTTTTTTCCCATGGAAAATTGTGTCCCTTTGTAGACATTCCCACTGGTACTTAACATTGGTTTGCAGCAGCAATTTCAGTCCCATCCAAGACCTGACTGTCTTATGCTGAGAGAAAAAACTCTGAATAGTTCAATATATTTCTAGTGCCATCAGAGAGATATTTTCTTCCATTTTCAAGCCCTTTATTTTTTATTTTATGTACATAAAAGTTGTATTTGCTTTTTTAAGCCCTATATATCTGTATTTAGAATTTCTAATACTCCACTATCCTGTACATAGTACAGTAGATACAAGGTTCTATTTTGAAATAAATTTTACCAAGAGTCATTTTTTTTATATTCATAAAAGATAAGAAATGGTATAGTTTTTTGTATTTTTTGCACAAACACCCCCAAAACTTCCAGGCAATTTTGGGGTTTACAGCTCCCAAAGGGCTGTAAACCTCCCTTTTTTGGGAGGACCCCCACCTAACCACTCGTTTAGTCTACCTTCTCCTCCACTGCATCTTCACTCTCTCCCAGTGACATTCAGCTCCCCCAAATTACCATCTCTGTATCACCTCCTAACCTGGGCTCCCTCATAGCTCATTCCCCAGTTCTAAGGGAGGGAAAGGCAGCCAGTATGGTTTTATTCCATCACTCACTCACTTACTCACTCACCAAGTTACTTCAGCAAGTCTGCTGGCACTTGGGGGCCCTGACACTGGCCATGCCCCCAGGACACCTGACATTGTTCCACAGCAGTGCTTGTCAGACTGGTTAGTTGGTCACCTCCTGGAGCAACAAGCTGCTGGACAGAGGTGGAGTCCACCAAAATTGAGCAGCAGGGTCCATGATGACAGAAGAGGAAGAGGGAAGGTGAGGTTTTTTATTATTTTCTTCACAATGTGTTTTTCCCAGGGAAGATGATTTGGGCTGTGAGGCGTCTGCATTTCCCACTCCTGGAAGGAGCTTGGATTGTCCCCAACTTACCCATGACATGGGAAGGAATCCTGGGAGCAAGGCCAGGTGGGCACTGCCCCTCACATTCAGAGGCAGGCGACACTATAGAGCCACAACAATCCCAAAGGGCTTGAACAGCCCCAGGATGCCACAGTGAGAGCACTCTACTTCAAACTCAAGGAGAAAACACCTCTCCACTCCTTTTTTTAAGGTATTTTTCCAATAGTTGAGGAGCTGACAGCAAGGGGAAGGGAGCAGGAGACAACAGTGATGCTCAACAAGATCTCACATTTATTAATGAGAAGTGATTAATGGTGAAAAGAAAGGCAACACCCAGTCCTCATTGGCTTAACAAGAAACTGAAACATAGTCACTACACATTTTACAATATTTCTTCCTTGGTTTGTATGTTTTGGGCTTTTTATTGTCCAAAATTCATTTTCCTGTAAACAAGACAAGTTTTTACCATTGTTCTCAGCTTTCAAAAAATCAAATTCATCCAGACCTAATCTTTAAATCTATATAATGCACAAGAACAGAACATTTCTTAGGACTCCTAGTACTTGACTTTTGAGTAACAAAGGGTCAGAGAAAAATGAACCACCTTTAAGACATAACCTCTTGGACAATTTTCTGTTCAATTCTTCTTAGGCCAAAACCCCAACTTCCTCACAGAATTCCTCCTCTTCTGGTCCGGGGAAAGAAAAAAAAAAAATAAAGTTACTCCACTTTGCATGGTGGATGCTATAATTCAGTGCTCCAAGTGCAAATATCATAACCAGGGAAGGAGGCCCAACAGGGTGGAAAGAGGAGGAACAATGAGATTTAAAAATTAGACAAAAAAAAAAAAGGCATATGCCACTTATGGACTTGAAAATCCAAAAACCATAGTAAAAAGACAAAAACAAAGTGTATGCTCTGAAATCACAACCAAAGCCAAAAGAAATGGGACAGGTTTTACCTCTACGCTACCTAGAAGGGATTTTTTTGTAGTTGTTTTTGGTTTTTTTAGTCCTATGTCTTGTGATATTCCAATACTTTTTTTTTTAATTGGAAGTTTGTAAAAGTCTTTTTGAAGTCAAAGGAATTAAGAAAAAAAAGTCCTAATTCTTTCTGGGATACTCTTGCTCCTTTCTCTCTCTGAAAGACAGCTGGGATGCAATCTCTGCAGCAATCTGTGCTGGAGGAATGGCCTTTTACTTGACACGGCCTTGGCGTTCCTGCAAAAAAAGTGAGAGATCATATTAACTGAGAGCAGTTTTATTCACCACTGTTACACATCAGCATTCCAAGACATGGTTCTCCCATGGACCCTGTCCCAGCAAAGCCAGGAAAAGAGCATTGTTCTTGTCAAAAGAAGTGCTGCTACTGCATCCAGTCACTGCAGAGATGTGACGCTGCTGAGGTCAAACAGCTCCTTATTCTCCTTTTTTTATCTCAGGTGATTCACCACCTGCAGAGCTGCATCCAGCTCTGGGGATTCCAACATCAGAAGGATGTGGAACTGCTGGAGGAACTCCAGAGGAGACCACAGAAACACTCTGAGGACTGGAGCCCCTCTGCTCTGGAGATAGGCTGGGGGTGTTCATCCAGGGAGACCTCTGAGGCCCTTTCTGGTGCCTCATGGGGCTCCAAGAGAGCTGGAGAGGAACTTTGGACAAGAGCCTGGAGGGACAGGGCAAGGAGGAATGGCTTCCCACCGCCTGAGGGAAGGGTTAGGTGAGATCTTGGGAAGAAATTCTTCCCTGTGAGGGTGGTGAGACCCTGGCACAGGGTGCCCAGAGAAGCTGTGGCTGCCTCATGCTTTTAAGTGTCCAAGGTCAGGTTGGACAGGGCTTGGAGCAGCCTGGTCTAGAAGAAGGTATATCTGCATTGGAATGAGATGGTCTTTAAGTTCCCTTCCAACCCAAACCATTCCATGATTCTATGAAAAAATACCACCTGAACTCCCACGTAGGCATCAAAGTAGGCTGGAGCTCAAACCCAAGGAGCATTGACATCAGCCTTGATCTGCAGGGACTGAAACAGTCCCAGCCCCCCAGCAGAAAATCTCTCCAATACCCCTGTCACAACTTGATGGTATCTCACTTGAAAAACAAGAACTTCACAGGAATTTCCCACTGACTGCTATCACCCTGGGTTTTCCTCCAGCACTGTAGAAACACCCTGTCCAAACACTTGCACCAGAACAAAGAGGCAGCACAGCACCAAATACACCTAGACACCAAAGGCTGCCACCCACTTTGCTGTTCTCAGCACTCCATGCCCATCTCTTCAGAGTTCTGTTTGGGTTTAATGGAGAAGCTCTCACAGAAGCAGGTCCAGGCTTCCTCAAAGGGTTATGAGGTGTTTGAAGTGTCATTCCCAGATCATAAGACACCACCTCAAAAATGAAACCTGTCAGCAGCCAGAGGGCCCTGAGCTGATGCTTCTCCCTGGCTCTGCCTCTTCCCTGAAGACAGTCAGGTCCCTGTAGTTTAGGCATGACATGCACTGCAGGGCTCCAGCTCCTGTGGAGTGAGCCCATCACCACCTATCTAGTCCAAGAGGTGCCAAGTCCATCCCACTTCCACAGCAAAGCCGTACCTGCAGCAGGTACCCACAGGTACAGCAGGTTTTCCCTCTTCACTCAGAGAGGAGATGCTGTCAGGGCTCTGAACCTAGTACTTTGGTTCAGCTGAGGACGTTTCCCTGCATGTCCCTCTCTGCCTGGAGTCGTATCACCTGAAATAAGGGCAGCAACAGAGTCCCCTGCCTTCTTCCCACGGTCCCATGCTAACCTGCTGATGGGGGGGCACCTTCCCATCTTGGCAGCTCACGCAACCGCTGCCACAAGCACACAGGCTGCTACAGGAAACCCCATCCTTTGCCACTGCTGAATCCAGGGAGACCCCATCCCCAAACAGCTTCAATCCTGGGACAACAGCATGTGCAGCCATCTATCCTTAGAAACCTTCCCAAAAACAGAGGTCTGGTCTCCAGCTTAGAACACCACTGGCTTTAGCCTCAGCCACAGACGCAAAGAGGCTTTACTTCCCATTCCTCTGTAGGATGCAGAGCAAGGCCAGCATGATCCTCTGCTGTCTTCTGGGGACAGGGATCAGACGAAGGCACATGTTCTCATCAAGAACAGTTACCCAAGTAAGTCAATTAAATTCCCCTTTTCCTGTAATTCTGCCCAAGTCGGTTGCAGGTGCTTTCATTGCCAAAACACCACAACAGCACAGCAAAATCCAACTACTAGATTGGGAAGCAGAGCCAGGCCTGAACACAGAGCACAAGAAGCACTGCAGGGAGAGCCACAAATCCAAAGGAAGGTGCCAAGCCCTGTTCCTGGTTCAGCAGCTAGCATGTTATGTTACACAGGGACAGATGGCAATGTCACACATCCCTTTGGAAGCAGCTGCAACTGCCTGAGCTAATGTAACCACTTCCCAAATGCAGACATGGGATAAGCTGGCTGCCATGTTCAATCATGCCCTGTGCATCTCCAGGGCCAGTGTCCTGGGCTGGGACAGTGGCCAAGGTTCCTGCTGTACACATCACCGTGTTAGCTGAGCAGCTGGACTCCAATCAATCACCTCTTCCTGCTGAGAAGATGATGCTGCTCCCAAGGCCTGCATGCAGCTAATAAGGAGCCAACCCCAGGGAAAATCCTCCCCTTAAATACCGATGTGTCAGAACAGAGCCTAGAGCAGATGTCCCCCCATGTCACCAAGCTAGAGAGGGGGCCAAAGTGAACATCTTCACTTCAGACCTGCTGTAAACCAGGACTGGGGGATGGGGTCCCCAAAAGGTCCCCATTCCCCTTCAGTCAAGAGCCTGCCTCAAGGAGCAAGCCAGAGGGGAATGGAGGAAAGGTGGCTGAATATGAAAGGAGGTGGATCCCTGATCCAAAACCACAGAACCTAACTGGTTTGGGCTAGAAGAGAGCTGAAATCTCATCTTGCCATGGGCAGGCACACTTTCCACTAGACCAGGTTCTTCCAGGCCCTGTCCAACCTGGCCTTATACAATTCTGGGGATGGGGCAGCCACAGTTTCTCTAAGCACCCTGTGCCAGAGCCTCACCACACTCCCAGGGAACAATCCCTTCCCAATATCCCACCTGGCAGTGAGAAGCCATTCCCTGTGTTCTGTCCCTCCATTCCTTGTCCAAAGTCCCTCTTCAGCTGTCTTGGAGCCTCTTTGGGCATTAGAAGGGCCTCTAAGGTCCCCCTGGAGCCTTCTCATCTCCAAGTGAACACCTGCAGCTCTCCCAGCCTGGCTCCAGCTCTCGGAGCATCTCTGTGGCCTAGTCTGGACTTTCTCGAGCAGCTCCACATCCTTCTGATGCTGGAATCCCCAGAGCTGGATGCAGCACTGCATGTAAGGTGTCATCTGAGTAGAGCAGAGAGATTCAAGACATCTTGTCCTCAGGAGCATTACAGTGATCATTCAACCACCAGCCAAATCTACCAGAATACACAGCAAAGCTCAACCACATTGCAAACGTTTGTCCTTCCTGGCTCATCCTTGTCCAAATCCACAGGCTATTAACAGTGTGTCACAGCCCACCCAGCTACGCGACAGCCCCGGAAGACAAAGCAGCATCTGCGCACGCAGACTGGGCTTTGCTCTGGGATACGATCTCTGGAAAGCAAAGGGATTCCATCAGGAAGTGTTTTATGTCCTTTGGCTGCACTTTCATTAAACTTGGGTCATATCTTATTGATCCATATGGGAAGAAACAAGAAAGACACCTGCTCAGACTCATCCCCATCCATCAAACCCCTCAGGAAGGGCAAGAGCAGCATGTTATGGAAATGGCTGATTTGTGCCATGGCTCAAATCCTGTGCTGACACAAAGCTCACACAAGGCAAGTGTGCAAACAGGAGCTCTCTCTGATCACACCACTCAAAGCAACTTCAGTCCTGTCACTACTGTCCCCAAGGGCTGCAGCCATGCCACAAGCCAGGTCCTGATAACAGCAACTGAGCAATATGAGATCACCTTATATATTTACACTGCAGGGGAGCCAACAACAAAAGGATCAAATGTTTGCACCTGACAAAATGACAAGGGGAGAGACAACATTGCCCATCTATTCAGAGGCTCTGACCTTGATTGACAACCAAGGTTCAGCATCAACACTCCCAGCAAAGGTAAAGATTTTATTGCCACACCACAGATAGGGAAATAGCCAGACTAAGCCAAAGGAGGACATGGAGAAGAAGCCAGGGCACAGCTCCCAGCTGTGCAGCTTACAAACTCTAGTTTGTTGGGACCTGCCTGAGCTGCAGGCCTGCCTTGGGCAGGCCAGGCCAGGCCAGGCACAGTCTCAGTTTTACCTGAGAAAGTCCTCCAAGCAAAAGGCATCACTCACCCAGTGCCGCCCATAGAGGAAACAGCAGGCAATTCCTTCATTGGAGCAATGGAACTCCCAGTACCATTCCCCAAAATGCTAAGACACCCAATCAGAAAATCCTGACTTGGACCCACAAGGATCATCAAGTCCAGCTCCTGGCCCTGAACAGGACACAGCACCAATCCCACCCCATGTTAGAGAGCATTGTCCAAATGCTTCTGGAGCTCTGGCAGCCTTGTGGCCCATGACCAACCCCTGGAGAGCCTGTAATCAAACTCTGGCCTTGGTACACACCGACACACACACACACACACATCAAGCACCTCAACAGCCCCGCTCAGCCTGTGATGCTGCACTTCGCTGTTCGATGCAATCCCAGCCAAACAACCCAGCAGGACTTCCATGTGCCCATGTCTCCAAGGCAGACATCTTAGATCACTGCCTCAGAAATCATGACTTACTGCAGCCCATGGCCCTCCCAGCAGGATCTGCTCAAGGAAGACACAGCACAAATGATGGATGATGTATCACTTGTATATTATGCTCCACAAGCAGTCTCAAGTCCCAGTACTTTCAAACCAAACATGATTTTTCCAGTTGTCAGCATTAGAAAGCCATCAGGGTTACCAAAGCTACATCCTTGTCTAGAAAAGGGGATAAAAATCATGTAGTGATCTGCTTATAGCCTGACACCTTCATCCTACTTCCCATTCACTTAATGGGGCTCACCACCAAGGAAGACAGGAAATGAGGCAAATAAAAGTGATTCTTTGTCACAGCAGGACAGGCCTTTTGTTCTACAGATCAAAATCCAACACAGCAAACCCATATATCCACACAACTCTAAACAGAACAAACTCATATCAGTGAACA